AAGAAGAAGAAGAAGAAGAAGAAGAAGAAGAAGAAGAAGAAGAAGAAGAAGAAGAAGAAACAACAACAAAATAAGTTAATTTAGCTTTCCAAAAACCCACCCACTCCAATAGAGTTTATACTGGAGGCCAGTAGAGTCTCTAGTATAAATTCCAATGAGTTTTTTTAGGGATTTGGTTAGGGTTAGGGTCCCCTAGCACTTATGTGTTAGTCATTCCCAACTCTAAAGGGTGGTGCTAATCTCTGTTTCAAAGCCAAGGCGCCAGAGCTGTCCGAAGACGTTTCTGTGGTCATGTGGCCGGCATAACTAAATGCTGAAGGCGCAAGGAATGCTATTACCTTCCCACCAAAGATGGTTCCTATTTTTCTACTTGCATTTTTACGTGCTTGTGAACTGCTAGGTTGGCAGAAGCTGGGACAAGTAACGGGAGCTTACTCCATTATGTGGTGCTAGGGATTCGAACTGCTGAACTGCCAACCTTTCTGATCGACAAGCTCAGCGTCTTAACCAGTGAGCCACCGTGGCCATTTGCCTTTACTATTAATGTTAAGTTAAATCAATATCATTAATTAATGATTCACTTAATAACCATCGACCACTGAATTAGTGTGGGGGTTATTGGACTATATCTGGAGGGTCACAAATAATCAATGGCTGAAGCTGAAGAATAATTTTTAAATCTATTTTCAACTCTTAATTGTCACCCAATATAGCAAAATTGTCTAGAAATTGGGGCTGGGGGAAGGAGGAAAAAAGAAGGGAGTATTTCGATATAAAAATTAGTAGAGCAAAGTTCTGTCATCACTTTATGGAGAAAAGAAAGGCTAATCAACTCAAACAGGAAGTAGAGTTTTGAGGACTTATTTATGATCTTGGTTTTTTTTTTTTTACCCTTCCTGGCATCCCTTCGTCCCCACTGAATCAAAGACTCTGGGGCTAGCCAAGCTGAGATTTACCTCTGTGGCTTCCACCGGGATGTCTTCTTCTCCAAACCCAGCAGGTTGGTCTTGGTGTTGATCTGGATGAAGCTCCTCCTACAGAACACACAAGAACAGACCAAAATATCATCAGATGCCACAAAGACCAGAAGCCAGGATTTCCCATTCTGGCTAGCTTCCAGATGTGTAAATGTCTATGGAGATTCTCAGTCATGGTTGTTCCAAAGGTATTTTTTCAAGAGGCACCTGGACTTTCTGGTTTTACTTTGAAGATGTTTCGCTTCTCAATCCAAGAAGCTTCTTCAGCTCTGATTGGATGGTGATTGCCCACCCACCCAGTCAATGCTGAAGAAGCTTCTTGGATGAGACACGAAACAGCTTCAAAGAAAAACCAGAAAGTCCAGTTGCTTCTTGAAAAAGCACCTTCCAAATGTGTATGGACTACAGTTCCCAGATTGCTCAGCAACAGTTGAGTGCATACACCCAGAACAAAATGCTGGACTGAGATGACCCATGAAGACTGTTCTTCTGTCCAAAAGGACCAGGCACATAGACTTTAAAGACTGAAAAGCTTGCTCAAGTTGAATAATTATTTACTATATCCAGGGGTGGGATTCAGCCAGTTCAGACCGGTTTGGATGAACTGGATGCTAATTTTACATCTGGTTCGCTGAACCGGTAATTGCAAGGACTGGCTGGCCCCACCCACCCCACCCTGCCCCTCCCAGGAGTCTTTTTGCAGCCCGTTTTGGATGCCAGGTAAGTGCAGGGCCCGCACAGTGGCTCTAGGAGGGTGAAAAATGGGCCTCCCGGAAGTTTTGGAAGTCCAGAAATGGGAAATCTAGAAAGGGCTTCCGGAGCCTGGGGAGGCGTTTTCACCCTCCCAGAGGCTCGAGGAAAGTCTCTGGAGCAGAGGTGGATTCTGGCTTCTGTTACTGCCAGTTCACTCAGGGATGTGTTTCACGTGTGCGTGCCCTTGATGTGCACTATGCGTGCATGCACAGTAGTAAAAAACAAGATGGTGGTGCCTATGGCACCACTGATAGAACTGGTTTGCGGGCATGGTCAGCCAAGTTACTACTTACTTGGCTGACCGGTAGGAACCCACCTCTGCTCCGGAGCCTGGGGAGGGTGAAAATGCTCCCACCCACCATGGTGCAAGAGGCTGAGTAGGCCACACCCACCATGACCATGCCCCCTCCCCAGCAATCGGGCATAGGACCAGTTGCTAAAATTTTTGAATCTCACCCCTAGCTATATCACACAGTGTCCTGTTTTGTTCTTCTCTGGTGCAGACATACAATAAATGCAAATCTAATCTTCCATCCTGTCTTTGCTGAACTTCAAACTCGTTTTTGGCTGTTCCTTTGGATAAACACTGGTCTCTTGATTCCTTCTCGGTTTGTTTTTATTATTATTATTATTATTATTTTCTTTCCCATGCAACTGCTATGATACATGGAGTTAATTGTTTAAATTTAGGAAGGTAAACTAGGAAAGGAATTGATTTAGCTTTTTCTCTTTCATTTCCCTGCCCTGCCTCCTCACCAACAATGTATCCATGAATGAGGCAAGCATACATTTTAGATACAAACAATTGTCTGCCTGTTTCCTTGGCCTGGAGGAAAACTTCAAGCGCATCTCTAATTATGAATGGTGGCTTAAGAATCACATCCTCTGTTTGTTTCTCTTGGATCTGCATCCCTCATCATGACTTCATGCTCTGACTCATCTTCTATTTTTAAGCAGGCAGGAAAGGAGCATCTTGAGAACTGGAGCACAATTACAGGAAGAAGACGTGTTGGGCTGTGTGCTTCTTCTCTCCCCAAGCCAATATAAATTGGACAACTTTGACCTATTGAGAGGCACAAAACTTGGACTCAGCCACTCTCAAAATCAAGAATGTTGACCCAAAGCCAACCAGACTAATGTGTTAGAATCATCTCATTTTTCAGAATATTCCCTAGCCAACCAAAAGATCATTTCTGGGCATGGAATCCTACTTCCAAACAAAGCTATACCAAATTATGAATTCGAAGATTTTTTAAAAAGAACTCCTATGAGATCAGAGATCCTTCTCTAAATAGTTTGTCATTTTGTGGAGGAAAATTATTCTTGGCTCCCTCACAATAACAAAACCCCAAAATCAAAGACCATTGTGTTGTAAAAAGGTCTGGTTCTCTTTTCTCTTGATGTTCCACATAAATATTTGTGGACTTCCAGTTGTGCTTATCAATTCCGCGTAATTGATTTTTGTAGAAAATGAGATGCTGCACTGGAGGTCTTTGAAATGAACAAAATATTCACTAAATGAATGTCTATATTCTGTTGTTCCTCGTTTTCAAGGTACATTTGCTGTATCTACTGCTTATTTTACAGCTCTTGATGGGTGAAAATAACCCTTTGGTCATTGGTGACTTTGAGAAGGGCAGGTTCAATAAGGTATCTGGTCTTCTTAGGTAGTTCACCAGATGTTGGTCTTGCAGGAAGAAAAGATCATAGACACCAGCATGGCCCTTGTGGTGAAACTCATGTGTGAATACAGGTAGTTTGTATGGCCCCTCCCTGGCTGGGGAATAAATAGAAGGAAAGGGGAATGGTGGTTGTAGAAGACAACAGTTCATATTTCTGAAGATTTTGCTAACTAGCCCAGCAATTATCTCAAGGAACTGACAACGTCTGTTACTGCAGTTAACTCTTTGAAGGATTATTGCCTGGACTTTTTGATGGGTGAATGCCATTAATTCACAGGAGGTAAATAAAGAGGGGGTTTTCGGGACTGTCTGTTTCTTGCTTCTGCTAAGGCTGGCTCAGAACAGTTTAAAACATTCAACTGAATGGTTTCCCCCAGCAAATATCAACACCCCCTGCACTGGGCATGTCTCACAGGCAAAATGTTATGAACGTGGTAAGGTCTCATTGGTGGGGAAAAAATCACACCTACCTTGTTGACCAGACCAGTACTGGTTACAACAGTCTCTGCTCCTTCCACTGTTTGCTTCGCCACTGTGTTTACGCTGGACACCACACTGTCTCCCACGAGATTGGCCTGTTCTTTGGTCTTCTCAGCAACTGTAGTTGAAGCAGAAAGAAACTGAGAGGATGACTTATGAGAAGGTGGAAGATCCACTTCTACAGGAGTGGTTGGAAACTACTAAGATTATCTGGGATCTTTCAATAGAGGTCAGTTTTTAAAGGAAGATCCGTGTCTCCCTTGGATTTTTGCAACCCAGGTCTGGGAATATTGAAAAAACCAGCTTTCCTTTTGTGATCTCCACAAGGCCAAAATCGTGTGGAGGCAGATTGTTTAGCCCCCATTGTGTACTTCCTGGAATTTTGAAGGTATTTACACCCACCCCAAGAATATGTCAAGTCTGCACCTATTTTCAGAATATACAATGGCAAAGCCCTGAAGATGAAGGACAAGATATACAAGTGTATTGGGGAACACCATCTGGTCTTTCCCTCAGAAGAAGTTATTGAGTTGACCTCAATACCACTTCTGCATGCCTGGGTATAGAAAGACAGGAGGGGATGTCATTAATTCAAAACAGAAAACCCAGAAGCTACTCCACCAGGCCAACCTTTGTATAGTTCTTACCAGAAGTGACACTGTGCACCACTCCTTCTTTGGTTTTTGTGCCTGTAAAGAAGAGAGAGAGAGAGAGAGGGAGAGGGAGAGAGAGAAGGGGGGAGGAGGGAGGGAGGGCAGGCGAGGGAAAGAGAGAGGAGACAGAAGAGAGGGAGAGGAGAGAGAGGACAAAGGACAGAAGAGAAACAGAGAAAGGGAGAAAGGAAGGGAGAGGGACACAGAGAGAACAATTGATTAGTTTTGCTTTCAAAAACCATCCATTAAGATTTGCAGTGCTGGGGCAGCTTAGCAGAGAATGAGTCACAGGATAAAAGGTCTTGCGTTTCCTTCTTTCAAGATGAATGCTGCACTTCAGACAAATGGCCGGTTGAGCATCCATTCAAATACAAAACCCACAAACAAAACAGATTTCAGGTTCAGCTCTTTTTTTTTTTTTAAAAAAAAAAGTCTTGCTGGGGAAGGAGAAAAAGCCAGGAGGTGGATGGCCTACATTACACATGACTTCTCAACTTGAAGCTGTGGTGGCAAACAATATTTTTCTACTCAAAGGGTTATTTCCCCCGAAGTTGATTTAAAGTAAATAACTCTAAGGTGGTAAGAGCAAAGATCTTGGATCCCTAGCCTCCCTGGCCATCAGACAGGAGCAAGCAAACACATCGCCATCTTCCTCTAAAAAGGTAAATGTTTGCTAGTCGTTCCCGGCTCTAGGGGGCAGTGCTCATCTCTGTTTCAAAGCCAAAGAGCCAGCGCTGTCCAAAGACGTCTCTGTGGTCATGTGGCTGGCATGACTAAACGTCGAAGGTGCACGGAATGCTGTTGCCTTCCCACCAAAGGTGGTTCCTATTTTTCTACTTGCATTTTTTATGTGCTTTCAAACTGCTAGGTTGGCAGAAGCTGGGATAAGTAACGGGAGCTCACTCCATTATGTGGCGCTAAGGATTCAAACTACCGAACTGCTGACCTTTCTGATTGACAAGCTCAGCATCTTAGCCACTGAGCCTTAGTTGGATAGAACTGTCTAATTACATTTAGGCATCCCCTCATGTATTTATTATGCAAATATACATACTTGCTCCTTCTACTCAAACCATTCTGGGTATGTAGCACAGCAAAAGCATGTGTGTAAATATTTGCTCCTTCTACTCAAACCATTCTGGGTATGTAGCACAGCAAAAGCATGTGTGTAAATATTTGCTCCTTCTACTCAAACCATTCTGGGTATGTAGCACAGCAAAAGCATGTGTGTAAATATTTGCTCCTTCTACTCAAACCATTCTGGGTATGTAGCACAGCAAAAGCATGTGTGTAAATATTTGCTCCTTCTACTCAAACCATTCTGGGTATGTAGCACAGCAAAAGCATGTGTGTAAATATTTGCTCCTTCTACTCAAACCATTCTGGGTATGTAGCACAGCAAAAGCATGTGTGTAAATATTTGCTCCTTCTACTCAAACCATTCTGGGTATGTAGCACAGCAAAAGCATGTGTGTAAATATTTGCTCCTTCTACTCAAACCATTCTGGGTATGTAGCACAGCAAAAGCATGTGTGTAAATATTTGCTCCTTCTACTCAAACCATTCTGGGTATGTAGCACAGCAAAAGCATGTGTGTAAATATTTGCTCCTTCTACTCAAACCATTCTGGGTATGTAGCACAGCAAAAGCATGTGTGTAAATATTTGCTCCTTCTACTCAAACCATTCTGGGTATGTAGCACAGCAAAAGCATGTGTGTAAATATTTGCTCCTTCTACTCAAACCATTCTGGGTATGTAGCACAGCAAAAGCATGTGTGTAAATATTTGCTCCTTCTACTCAAACCATTCTGGGTATGTAGCACAGCAAAAGCATGTGTGTAAATATTTGCTCCTTCTACTCAAACCATTCTGGGTATGTAGCACAGCAAAAGCATGTGTGTAAATATTTGCTCCTTCTACTCAAACCATTCTGGGTATGTAGCACAGCAAAAGCATGTGTGTAAATATTTGCTCCTTCTACTCAAACCATTCTGGGTATGTAGCACAGCAAAAGCATGTGTGTAAATATTTGCTCCTTCTACTCAAACCATTCTGGGTATGTAGCACAGCAAAAGCATGTGTGTAAATATTTGCTCCTTCTACTCAAACCATTCTGGGTATGTAGCACAGCAAAAGCATGTGTGTAAATATTTGCTCCTTCTACTCAAACCATTCTGGGTATGTAGCACAGCAAAAGCATGTGTGTAAATATTTGCTCCTTCTACTCAAACCATTCTGGGTATGTAGCACAGCAAAAGCATGTGTGTAAATATTTGCTCCTTCTACTCAAACCATTCTGGGTATGTAGCACAGCAAAAGCATGTGTGTAAATATTTGCTCCTTCTACTCAAACCATTCTGGGTATGTAGCACAGCAAAAGCATGTGTGTAAATATTTGCTCCTTCTACTCAAACCATTCTGGGTATGTAGCACAGCAAAAGCATGTGCGTAAAATTTAGAAAAGTCAAACTAAATAACCATCTTCAATCCAGAGAAAAGAAATAAAGAAACTGGATTCTTCCCTAAAGCCTCAGGAAAGAACCAGGTTTTTAAGGCCTTCTGAAAGGCCAATGAGGTTGGGGATCATCTAAAGCAGGGGCCTCCAACCTTGGCAACTTTAAGACTTGTGGACTTTAATTCCTAGAGTTCCTCAGCCAGCTTTCTGAGGAACTCTGGTAGTTGAAGTCCACAAGTCTTAAAGTTGCCAAGGTTGGAGACCCTTGATCTAAAGCTCAGGGAAGATGTTCTACTGTCTGTTCTCGGGTTGCACCTGAGGAATCTGTCAGGTGAACATCTCACAAGATGGACCTTCGTGACATTTCCTACCCAATGAGGAGAGAGGCCAAATGTGTCTCCTCTTATCTCTTGACCATGTCAGAAGTATCCTCCAACCTCTGTACTCACTCAATGGAGCGTGAGGAACACAGAAGATCCAAAGAAGAAAAAATGGATACAGCTTTGATCGCCTTTGGTGAAACTGGTCAGGATGCTCATGCCAGCCATACCTACACATATTCACAGAATAGTACACCATTTTTGGATCCAGCCCAGTACAGACTAAGCCAAATGCTATTTTTTTAGGGGGGGGGGGCTTAGTACCATCTTCAGACGCAGTCATTGTGGTTTACTCAACCCACCATGATGAAGTACATCAAGGCCTAGTAAACCAACACAATTGCTGGAAGGCTGCCTGATGTTCCGAGAAGATGCATCAGCTTAAATGCAGGAGTTGGGTGTGGTTTCAAAATAAGCAGTGGAGCTGGGGAGAAGAATGTTATTGGCTGCAGGGTTTAGGATGGCTCAAACCACGAGCACCCACCATGCCTTGTCCCTCCTGAATCATGCAGCTATGTGAGAGAAGACACTGGTTATATAGGACTGAGATGAGCTGTAAGATAACAGCAAAGTCTCTTGGGGTTGCCCCAGGTCCTGTCCAACACAGTCGGGATTAAGCATAGGATGAGGAGAAACCAGCAAAATCCAACAATGTCTACAGTAGTTTTTGCCGCCACGATGCAAAAAAAGATGTTGGAACTCTGGAAAGAGTGCGGAGAAGAGCAACGAAGAAGATTAGGGGATTGGAGACTAAAATGATTGCAGGAATTGGATTNAAAAAAAAGTCTTGCTGGGGAAGGAGAAAAAGCCAGGAGGTGGATGGCCTACATTACACATGACTTCTCAACTTGAAGCTGTGGTGGCAAACAATATTTTTCTACTCAAAGGGTTATTTCCCCCGAAGTTGATTTAAAGTAAATAACTCTAAGGTGGTAAGAGCAAAGATCTTGGATCCCTAGCCTCCCTGGCCATCAGACAGGAGCAAGCAAACACATCGCCATCTTCCTCTAAAAAGGTAAATGTTTGCTAGTCGTTCCCGGCTCTAGGGGGCAGTGCTCATCTCTGTTTCAAAGCCAAAGAGCCAGCGCTGTCCAAAGACGTCTCTGTGGTCATGTGGCTGGCATGACTAAACGTCGAAGGTGCACGGAATGCTGTTGCCTTCCCACCAAAGGTGGTTCCTATTTTTCTACTTCCATTTTTACATGCTTTCAAACTGCTAGGTTGACAGAAGCTGGGATAAGTAACGGGAGCTCACTCTGATATGTGGCGCTAAGGATTTGAACCGCCCGACAGCTGGCCTTTCTGATCGACATGCTCGGCATCTTAGCCACTAAACCACCATGTCCGTCTTCTGTGCCCCTATTTTCCTAATTCCTCTCTGTAAAGCTGTCTCACACCCAAATCAGTCTGTTCTCTTTCTCCTCCTTGTGCATGCAAGCGAAATATTCAGGGTCACCCTACGGACTTTGTCTAAAGCTGTAGAGCTTCTAGTAGAGAGCCTGCGATTCTGCTTCTAGCATCTCTGCCTCGGTTCACAGGATTGTGAAGACGGCACACGTTCTCTTTTGCTTTCTTTTTTTTTTTTTTAAACGATTGTTTGGGAAAGATGCCACGGAGAAGATGAAGGAAAAGCAAGGAGAATGTCAAAATGGCTCCCTTGCAAACCTGTGCTGCACTGCAGTCAAATTCTTGCCATTCTTGCAAATATATATATTTTAAAAAATCTGGCTTAGTTTAGATCAGGAGGGGCTGCAACCATCCTTGGCCTAAGATTTTTGGCTCAATCAACACCATCCAGATAAAAAGCAAGCAGAAAGTGGGGGCTGTTCATTCCCCTTGGCCTGACTGGCATGGCGTTGGTGCAAAATCTCTTTTGATTCTGCAGATTCTCAGGCCTGAGAAGGTGGCCAGAAGTTCCCAGTTCCTTATTCTAAATCCCCCGTCTCTTCAATATTGTCTCTGGTTGGCTGATTCTTTTTGTTCTAATTGAAGCAGACAAAGCTGGAGTCCTTGGCCAGTACAATCTGTTTGATCCTGCCACTGTTCTCTCTCGTTGCAATGACTCAACATTATTGGGGCTTGTTTACAGTCAACAGGAGGAGTCACGGGGTGGAGAAGTGGGAGGGGGGGAGGCTGGAGAAGCAGGAGAACATAGAGACGAACATCTCATAAAAGGCAGGGAGATCTTTCCTGCTAATGA